ATTCCTCGACAGTACTTGCAAAGACTTAGGTCGCCCTTCTTTGGGAGTTTGACAAGGTAACCCTTCTTCCAATCAACAGGAAGGTACCTTTGCTTCCTACCTTCCAAGCCTTCTGCGATAGCGGTGTGAGCATGTTCGCTGCTGTTTCTGCGTCTGTTTTCAGTGCCTCTTGAGGAATTCCATCTGGTCCTGCTGCTTTCCCGGATTTCAGCAGTTTTATGGCATTCATGACTTCTTCTTTTGTCGGAGAACCTGTGTTCACTGGTAGTTCTGGACGACTTGCAGGTGGTGGTGGTGGTCGATTCAAGTTTTTTGAAGTGGTCAGTCCATCGTTGCCTTTGTTTCTCCTCTTTGGCAGCAACTAGATTTCCTTCACTATCTTTCATTGGTTTCACGTGAGTTGATATCTTCCCAGATAGTAATCTGGTTATCTGATATAGTGTTGTCAAGTCTCACCTACCAGCAACCTGTTCTGCTTCACTTGCCAATGTCGTAGAAGTGTCTTTTATCTTTCATTGCACTCTTATTCACCTCTTTGTCTAGTGTTTTATACGTTGTAATCAGTTCCTCTTTGCGTTGTTCACCCTTGCGCTAGTTTATCTTCTGCTTCAGAATCTTTCTCCCCTCCTCTACCAGCTTCCAAGTGTCCGTCGAGATCCATTCCATATCCTGTTTCTTCTTCCTTCCTAATACGGTTATGCAGGTTTCTTTCCACATCTCTTTCAAAGAGTTCAAGTGTTCTTCCATACAGGTTTCTTCATGGATGTTGCTTAATATCTGTCACTTCTTTCTGATGACTGGCTGACGTGAAGACCTCCTTTGTAGTTTCCCCCTTCACTTTCTGTTCTGGGTGTTTAACTTCAACTGTGGTCTATCATCAACTTCTATGAAGGCTTTCAACTTGATTTTGAAGGTAGGTTCCTTGCACTAGATATAGAGTGGTGTGAACCACCTACATCTGCTCCTCGCTTTTATCTGATCTTGTGTCCAGTAGGCTGCGTCTCCACTTTCTTCACATTGAGATGAAGTCGATCTGATTTTTAGTGTAGTGTGTCCTAGTGTCTGGTGAAATCAAATCCATATCGCTCTGCGCTTGTACACAGTGCCTCCAATCACCGAAACGTTGAATGCGCAGAAGTCTACAAACAGTTTCCTACTTTCATTCATTTGGCCGAGTGCTTCTCGACCCATAATCATTTCTCTTCCTATGTTGTCCTCTTCCAGTTTGGCATTCATGTCACCCCTCCCATTAGAATGTTGATGTCGGCATCGCCAACTGAAGTCTTGTCCAGTACTGATTGCAGTTATCTGTAAAATTCCTCCTTCTTCTCTTCATCTGCATTATATGTAGGTGCGTAACATTGGCATTATTTGGTTGTAACTTTCCTTCCTTTTGAGTTGAATCTTACTGTTATGATCCTGTATGAGAAGATTGGTTCCCACTGCATGAGAGCCTTCGATGCTCTTGGGGCCATCATGATAGCCACTCCGAAACTCAGTGTGCTCGTGACTGTCGTCTGGGTAATCGGAGTAGATTATTGACTCTCCTCTCCAGTTGAGAGTCAACTTCCATTCTATCTATTTTCGCCAATTCCTAGCACTTCCATGCTATATCTTCTCATCTCCTTTGCAATCTGGGCAGCCTTGTCAGCCAGCTTCAAACATTGTGCGGACATTCCATGTCCCCATTCTTACTTTCGCTTTCATCGAGAGAAGAGAAGATACATCGACCAATCGGCTTCCCGAAGTCTTTCACCAACCAGCGTCATTTCGCCTCTCCAATTCCAGCGAAGAATAAGTTTACTTTTATTTTGAATATTTTGTTTGCACTTTAAAGTTTCTTTAGCAACTGGATTCGGTTTACGGGGTAGGGTTGCTAGCCCTATACTCAACCTGCCCTCTTTATCCGGGCTTAGGACCGGCTAGTAACTAGTGAACTAGTTACCTAGGCGGGGACTGGGTTACATACATTGATTGGTCACGGGAAGGCAACCAATTTCATGTTGTCTAGTCCCAGTGACCTAGTGGAGAACTATTTTTCATACGCATTTGGCTTGGGTTTAGAACAATTCACATATTTTAAATGACATTCCTGTTTGGAATGCATGCTGCAATCTCTAGAAATATTGACTCCTGTGCAGCAAAGGTAGGTTTACACAATTAAATTGTGTCTCGCAAGAAAATGCGTTAATGATGCGAGCTAACACCCACTGGATACAACTCATATGGCAAATCAAGCATCAACCTAATCCTTTGTGATCTACAGTTTCGAGGAAGCAGAAACAAATTTTCAAACCTGAATAACCCGCACAGTGTAGATACATTGCAAAGTTGACCATTAGATAGAATCCATTTGAGTATTCCACGTTCTATTTTCCAAACTAGAGTTGGTGAAATATTTACAGATACACATCATATATTAACTTTTGAAACATACACAAATCTACTATCGTAACTACTTAACTTCAACTTATTATACCTTAACCTGGATAAGAATAAAAGTCAACTATCTTCTTACAACTTTAATGAAAGCGTGATCAATATATAACTCTGGATAAGCTGCCACCCTTTTTTATACCATAGCCAACTTCTTTTTCAACCCATCTGTTTATCACTTACTCACCTACTTGTTATCAATATCCATTTGAAGCCTTTTTGAATCGCTCTCCCTTTGTTTCTGTGCTGATGGGGAATAAGGTGACTTGGACCGATCCACTTTTCTGAGGAAATCTATGTCATTGTATTGACCTGTGTACCTTGGACTAGCAACAATGAACAAAAAATGTAGATTAATACCTATTTAGCAGCATTAATATCAGTGGGGAACCTAAAGCCATCATGTAGAGTCAGGTCTCCTTAAAAGTCATAATTAAACATAATATTTGAGAATTCTCATCGTTAATAGTAAAGACGATAGATGTAAGTGGAACTAGGAAAGAAAATAAGGATTAGACTAGGCATAGAAAATTTACACCGCCAAAATCTGATGACTCTGCATGTAGTATTTGTAGGCCACAATAAAACACGTCGAAATATACTTGACCTAAATAAGAAAACCAGAACTCGAAAATGAGACCATATTAACTGAGTCAAACATGACAGAATATCGATACCTCTTCCTGAGCTCTCTTCAATATGAAAATGTTAACACAGATTGATTCAATAGTGGCTCGTTTTTCACTGGACTTTCTAGTTGTTAATGTCAAACCATTAATGTGTGGGCAAAAGCAAATAGCATCCGAATTTATTTTCAGATAAACCCATGTTACTTGTCAGTAGTATAAAATAATTGACAAAATATACACATAGATTCATATCATAGGCAAACGAATTAACATTGCTGAAGTTATTTCACCACTTATATTGCAGTAATATTAGATTGGTCATGCATGAACAACTTGTACTGACATAATAAACAACTGATATGAATGAAAATTAAATCTAGACCACTTCTCCATACCTCCCGGCTCTTTTCGCAATCAGAGTCCATTATCCCTAATCACATCCTTTTCGGTGTTCCTAAAGATTCTGGGATAACAGGCAGGAAAATGATCACTGTTTACTGCTGTTTTGAAGATAATGTTGCTCTTCTATGTGAAGATATGGCTTACTGATCCAAATATCTTACTTCCCCGTAGAGTCCCGGGTTAAAATCCAGCTCGACCTACATAATCGGGTAGTATCACCAAGTATGGCTTAGAGCCTAGTACATAAACTGGATCATTAGGAAGAACAGGAGACTATATAATTTGGTTTTAACATAATGATTAGACCTGACTCGGTGCTCAACTTCATTCAGGACATTCGTAACAACTATGGGCTGGATGTTTTATAATATAAACATCAGATCTTTATGATTATTCGTATTTTCAAAAAGGTTACCAGTTATTTCAGTTACTGATATTAGAGACTTGGTTAACTGACTGGAAGTTTATACAGCCAAAGTAAAATCAAATGAAGCGTCATTAGTGAACTACAAAGCAATGAATATCATCAACCCTAATCAATGTCGAACGTAGAACTTTTGTCTCTGTTACTACACAACTGATAGGCTAAGAAACTAAGATCACTCCTGTAATTTGTAGGTTTAGTCACAGTGATTTAAAATGCAAAAGAATATCTGTTGACTAGACTTCAGTTTTCAATGGTCGTTCAGTTTAGAATTTGCGATTCAAACTGGGTTCTATTATTCCTATCTACCCTTTGACACCCAAACAATAAATAATAGTTTTCTAAGAATTTATTAAGTCTATTTTGTCAACTTTATCGAATGTTCTTAACTCAATTTTTAAAATCAAGTCTTTCCAAGTTTTTGGCGTACACAGTGTCACTTCTGCTTTACTTACTTCTTATGGACTCCTTAAACGATCACTTCAAGTCACCTGTACCAGACTACTTCATAGCTTCAAAGATCACATGCAGAAATACAAGTTATATGATACACTTGTAAAGTTATGCAATCCATTGATTCGAAAAACTTTACGACCTGTTCTCAAACGTAATTCTTATAAATTAACATAATACACTGAAATTATTAAAAAAAATTGTTTCACCTAAACTTGATAAGTGACCTTAATTCCTTCTCAGGGTGAACATACTTGTAACACAATATTTACCTTGGGAAACCTTCCGATAATTTCATAGGCCAAAGGGTTTTCCGTGTCGAAAACCAAATAAATATAAGACAGATAAGCAAAAAAATTCAAGCACTTTCATGTTCATTTTCTTTTGTGAGACTATTTTGAAAACTACTAACTTCACCAAAAACAAAGCATATAAATTAGCATGCCCACTACCATATATATCCCTTTAAAACGTGTTCAATACAGTCTCAAATAATCCCGTACACTTCAATCTGCATACTAGACACGTCCCACTTACATCATAAAATAAAACAGAGAGTACTAATATTCTATTTAATTATTTACACTCATAATAAATGAAACTTAAAACCAGTTAGTTATCTCATAATAAATATACGAGTTTCCAAATCAAGAAGTCTAGATAATAATCTCAACGTCAGAGTCAAGTTCGTCATCCCCAGGTAGTTGCACCTGAGATGCAGGAATGAGATCCTTATCCACAAGAGGTAAACCATCTCTTTGGCGTCTCTCCAGTTCCAAAAATGCTTCTCTCCATGACCAATCATGATGACTGAAATAAATTTAGTAAGACAATACCAAGTATCAGAATGAAATAAGAAATGGCAAATAAACAGCAAATGACTGACGGTGACGTTTTACAGATTCGTATTATTTATAATTACTGTAAGAGCCGATTCTTTACCAAAATGTACAGCAGAAAAGGGTAGAGGTGCACCATAAAAGGCAATGCTAAGGAACGAAATATAGTTAAGAGAAAAGAAGAATGGCATATAAATTCACATCCTCTGTGATTATAGAAAAACAATACATCCTGAACAAACAATTTGGGGACTGCGGTGAAATTGAGACAAATCAAAATGCACTCAGCAACCACCTGCACGTTTGTGTTATCGGCAATACCCACTATGTAAGGGGTTAAAGATACACCCAGCTTCCCGAGCCTAAATAGGTGAAGTAGGCTTCGAAACCATGACGTATTGATTGGAAGTCATGTGCTTAGATCAATGGACATAGAGGATATATGCATCTGATGCCCTCATTATTTAACCTGAATTCATAACAAAGAACAATATGAAGTGAGATCATAACTAATTCTAATGACGAAACAAAAGTAGCTCCAAAGTCAATGATATACTTTCTGGTTCATTAAACAATAAAAGCTAACAAAGAAAAAGGTTCACTTTGATGTAGACGAGGATCAAAGTGATATAATATGGTGGGACTTCACATCTCATCTTATTGGTTGTCTCCATACAATACAGCATAGAAAATAAACAAAATAAACTAGGGGAAAATAAGCAGAGCGAGAACAAATGAGCATAAAGTAACAGTATATAATTTTGAAACAGATGCGCGTCCCAGCATAACTTCTGAACCCTGACAACTGCGTTTTCAAATTAACCACACTTACATAAAGCGTCTCTAGGACCAAACAGACAGTTATCAAAGTATACGCCACAAGAATTCATGTAATTGAACTAGAAAGGGTGTTTTGCTTGATCAACCTTGTTTAACAATTTTTAACAGGAACGCATGCAACCGTCACTGAGTTAGTTTTAATGATGATGAAATCCAACAAATTCTTATTTTTGTGTTAGTTGTTTACAGTCAGAAACAAATGGCTGTTGAGCTGAGACCGCAGAAAGTACTAAACGGTTCAGAAAATATTAAACATCTATTATAACTGACTCGACCAACATAATTACACGCTGGACTCACTCACTACGATAATCGTATCTGTACCTTTGGAGCATGTTTGACTCATTCTTTACATCAACACCAGTCGATGGGTAGAAAGTGGCCTCTGCCTGGATTGTTCCAGTGGTTGTGTTGACTTGCCACATTAGACCAATTCAGTGTTTTTCTTGATTATGTCTTAGTTTAACTACACCAAAACATATTAACCCAATGTATTGTATAAAATCTCCTAAAAGAGTCACCACATTACGTAGAATTTCCCTGTAGTTCGCTCCAGTTTACTGAGTGGTTGTGAAACATGGTCATTAAAGGTAAGGAATATGAGGTGGTTTTAAGTGTTTGACCACTATTGCTTTCATGGCACAGGTTGTGTTTCGTGGTGTCACCACATCGGTAACGTAGAAGTCAAGTGTAGAGTTTTAGTAAAGAGAAGAAAGTCAGTTGATGAAGCTGTGAACCTCCATTGACTGAGATGTATGGAACATGTGCTACGCGTGTCTTATCATCATCTACCTCGTCGCACAATGGTGGCTGAAGTAGGCTCAGGCTAGAAAAGGGTCACAGGTGACCAGACTAAAACTTGGTATTATTGCATGAAGTCTTTAAGTGTTGGTGTGGGTCGCGTAAGGAAATGTAGACTTCTCAATTAGAGTTCACGTGATAACCAGAACCAGTGGCTGGAGAATCTAGGTGACAAAACTCAAAATCGATCCCAGTGGCGCAGATGTGTCTCCTCATCACACTCACCTTAATCGTCGTATGAAATCCAGTATTTTCTTATCCCTCCCTCCCCTCTTTTACTAATTTCTACTGCTTTTGACCGATTCTTCTTTAGTTCTTTATACCTCATCTTAAAGCTTTCTCGCTTGATGTGGTCATATGAGGTGCAGCAACTTGGATCGCTCAGCAATAATGCCTAATCCTACTTTGATATTGATGATGACGTCAAATTTTCACTTATAGAAATAGACATTTATCTTAAAATGGCGTTGATACTGTTCTTAATGACGCTTGCCGAAATATTCAATATGCTGTAGAAATAACGGCAGACAGTTGGTAATCTACATCATCCAAAGTGATTGATCCAGGACCCATTCCAACCACAATGGGGAGCGAAAGCAGGTTAAACGTAATTTGACTGAGAGTCTTTGCAATCACCGTGAATAGTAAGTGGCGGCGAAAGCGAGAAAGGAAAGGCGTTGGGGGATACTAAACAATTGTGTACCCTTATTAAAGTTAGTGGCAAGATAAAGACGATGGTAAGTGAAACCATCAAGGAAAAAAAATTGGGTCCCTGATAAATCCTCACGATAGGTCGCTAGAACGGTAGGTGGGGCACTTTGGAACACAGTTCAACTACCCACACAACAACGGTTCAGTTGCCCAGTATCCAGTCTGAACCTGAAAAGGACGTATATGTCGGTATTCCAAATATCCCCGAAGTTGAGAAGACTGTTGCTAACATGAAACGACACAAAGTAGAAGGACCAGACGGTTCGCTATCAAAAGTTTTTAAGGAAGGAGTAGAGTAACGGAATTATTAGTTAACGTATTGGAACCAGAATTCTCGTGTAAATCACTGATCATCCCAGTATACAAAAAGGTGATGTCTTCTGGCGACAGTGATAGCTAAGTCATTTTGACTACCATTTTGTTCAAGAGCTTAGGGTTCATAGTTGTACGATGTCTAACTGCAAACAAATCGACAAAACAAAGCAGCTTTGAGACCTGGACGAGGGTACATCAATCAAATATTTACCCTTCGTCAGGTTATGGAACACACGCAAACATACTGGCGGCCGATGTTTACCATATTTCTTGACCTAAAGGTGATAGTCAAACGCGAGGCGTTCTGAATGCATGACTTTGTAGGGAGTACGGAGTAAATAAGTAGTGCTAATCAAGGCTACGTATTCGAACTCACGCAGCGGTATAAGAGCGAATGGGGTGTAACCAACTGAAATGACGGCGACCGATGGTATCCTTCAGGTATATTTGCTATCACCGTTTCTATCATATGCGTACTAATGGATATAATCCCATGTACCTGACTTTGCAAGAAATAACTTGCCTCTAGAAAGGCAGCTGGTTGACTTAGAGTACGTAGAAAACAATGTCTCGTTACGCGATAATGAGAAAACGCAGTCCTCTGAATACCTTGAGCAGAAATCTGGGTATGTTTGGCATCCATCTTGCACCGATTACATGTAATATGATGCTTCGGGACTGGTCTACAGCTACTCCCAGATTAAAGACAGGGAGTGAAGTGATGGAATGCGTTGACTGCTTCATTTAGTTGGGGAGTTGCATAAGCCGCCGACAGGCGAGTAGCTGACAAAATCTCATTTGAAATTTGCCAGGTTACGATATCTTCGACGCCAGTGAGATGTCTGACCACCAATTAAAAGCCATCTACTTCAGCAGAAGGATTGGGTGGAAAAAATGCACAGTGTGATTAGACCAAGAGATGGTACCAGTTCATGAAGTCTGACCGTTAGTGTAAGAAGTGTAAGGTGTACGCTGCCTAGCTGCGGTCCTTGAAATGACAGAAATCAATCGTTGGAGATTCTTGGTGACAGCTGTAAACCGGTCATAGTGATGTTTGCACTCTGGAATTTTCGAAAGTTTGAACACTTTCACTAACCCTCAACTACTTTTTTCACACTCCTATACACTATCTAATTAATTTAATGTTACTCCTTTTCTTTCAACTTCATGGTACGGTACCGTAGTGTGGGAACTTGAACCACAGCACTTCTGTGCCACATTTTACATCGATCTATCTATCTCTGTCTGACCTGGTTTTGAATCCAAGTCGACTTGCTTCTTCCCAAGCAAACAGATAGTATCATAAGCACATACAATACGTGTGATTTATAGCTTAGTGCATGAACACATACAACGATGAGTTACAATGTTCGATTACACAAATTGAAACCATTCATAAAGATATCAGCTCAGTTCTCATACGTCAGGATCCTTCTAGGTAAATATCCTGATAATAAACATTTTTTTGACATCGACTGAAAGAGTTTAGTCTAACATACTAAAAATCTCATATGCCTAGAAATACATCGGTTTATTTGGGCTACTTTATAAATGTCACTTCCGAGCACAACTTATGAGGTAGAACGATATTGCATGTGTATAAACTATATAAAACCAAGTCATAAAACAATATTACTAGGAGCCATGTAGTATACTAGTAACTAATAATCCACAACTAGTTTACTTATATTCTTCAAAGGCTTACACAGACTAGAATTAAGCAAGTTTCTTTTGGAGGTGGAGGATAATGCAGAGAAAAAAAATGAAATTTTAGGCATAAAAAACACTATCCATACTTCATAGCAGTGCACCTTGGCACGAATATACCTCACTATTTTACCTTGAGTAGACAAGTAAAAGAATCAGTGAATATCTTTGACAGCCGTTCTGAGCGTATAATCCTTTATATTTCAAGACAATAAAGTGCCTAATAGTTCGCAACAGACAACTTCATGATACCACAATAAGTCAACCAGTCAACGTCAAAATGGGACCTGGCATTACTGTTTTATCATCCATTTTGCCACATGTAATGTCACTATGTCACGGTAGAGAGCACTGGGATGAAAAACGGTAAGACAAGGAAGGAAATAATCAAAAGTGGTAGGACATCGTAAAAAGAGAACAAGGAGGAATGAGATAATGAAATCCGGTATGACGATTAACGTGGAAATGTGTTGATACTGTTACACCTCTGCCTGGTAATAACTGTCAGAGCACGACTATCCCTACTTACTTTTAACGTTGACCTTGCATGCGAATAGTCTCACAAATACTTGGCATGTCTCGTATACTAAATTCGCC